TCTGTTGGCGACGGCGGGCATCTGCTGACGCAATTGCTATTACGAAAGAGAACATGTTGGAGAGCCTGTCATAGATAGTGAAGCTCTCCACTTAGCAAACTAAGACATGTCAAGAACTGTAACGTATTCCGAGATGAGCTGACCTATTTCCCGTCCTACCTCTTTTTTCCACATCCAGAAAAAGTGGCGCACCACAAGATATCGGCTGACTTCTCCTGTACTAAGCCTCGGGGGGTCGGCAGGAGCTACGAAAAAGATGAACATCACTCACTCGAGTTTCCGCTTCCTTCTCCAAGGCTAGTCCCTTCCCTGATAGAAAGCAAATCGTTTTGACGCGGTTTTACTTATGTGCGTTATCGTCGCATGCTCGCATCTCTTGCGATAGGGCCTTATTTTGTTTGTTTTGTTGTTTTGTTGTTTCTTCGAAGCTTTAGATGAATGTTGGTTCTTAACATGTTCTGGTTTGTTTGCTGTTAGAAGGCGTTGCTCTTTTTAACACGTTTTGTTTCGTTAGCAGGTTGCAGCAGCAGATGCCCCGCCGTCGGATAACAGACCCAGAAGAAGTTCACTTACCAGATTGAAGTGCTCTCCTTTACAAAACATGAATAAGCAGGTAAGACGACCTTTTTCATCTTATCAGTTCGGCTGCTAAAATGTAGCTCCCAATTATAAATCACAAAGGCTACGGTGTAAATCTGAAAGTAGCCTGACATGGAGGATGGAAAAGAGGTGCTAGGAACATAGGACGAATATCTCATAGTTCTGGCTCAACTCTGCGGAAAAGCGGGTACACATGAGTACTTCCCGAGCTCCATTCTAACTTTATTCAGAACAATAAGAATAGTTAGGAAGAACATGATAGCAAATTTAGTTGCGCGTTTCATCCATACTCATAGCAAAAAGAGGACACATAATGGAAGATCCACCATCCACGACGAGCGAGTGCCCTACAATGAAAGATGAAGCACGGCGATCAGCTAGAAATGCGATAGCTTCGGCAATATCACGGGATGCTCCAACCCGACCTGCAGGCACAAGAGTCGTGTTTGACGCTATAGCGATCTCAGCCTAAATTCGTAGTACAATATGCAAAGGTTCAACATCCGATATAATCATTCATTCACTCAAACGATACCGCAATTCGGTTTCGGTTATCATTTGGAATAAAAGAAAAAGGATAATGGATCAAGTCTCCGATGTTGATCAGTCCCGTCTCGGGATGCGCCATGCATCCCAATTCCGTTCAGAGTCGTAGTGGTTTTGAATTGCGATTCGGACTGGGGCCTTGCGGGGCCAGCTTATGTACAAGTCAGTGTTTTTATCCTCCAGACAAGTCTGGTACCAATTAACCGACCCCGGAGGGATGGAAGGCTTGGTTGGCCCGGGCGACTCACGACCCAGGATTTGATCCCAGACCTGCGCGCGTGGAAAGTAGCGCCCCTAACCACTACACAACTTTCACCTCGATAATGAATGTAGCTCTGGGAAATGGTACAGGATTGAGAAAAAAAGCAGAGAAAATCATTCTACAATTTCCGCTTTGGATGACCAGTGACCAAGAGATAGATAGCCCGGATCACTTTACTTCCATTACCGGTATAGTGTCAGCAAAAGATATGCTTTGCTTTTCAGTTAGGCAAACTGTGAAATGGGTTGCTCAAAGCCAAATAATCTTCGGAAATGACCTTCGGAGCGCCTTAGACGAGAAGGCAGCTTCAGGCGGCTGAATGGCAGCGGAAGCGTCTTTATTGCTGATAGTAAACTTACGGACAAGGCTACATTAGAACGCTCGTTCCGTGGAAACGTACTATTGTTTTTCTTAGGA